GAATAGAATAGAATAGAATAGAATAGAATAGAATAGAATGAAGAATAGAATAGAAATAGAAATAATAGGGATAGAATAGAATAAAATAGAATAGGAATAGAAATAGGAATAGAAATAGAATAGAATTGAATGAAGAATAGAATTGGGAGGGACCTTGGAGGTCTTCTAGTCCACCCCCCTGCTCAGGCAGGAAACTCTACATCACTTCAGACAAATGGTTATCCAACATCTTTTAAAAAAAATGTCCAGTGTAGGAGCATTCACAACTTCTGGAGGCAACGTTGTTCCACTGATTAATTGTTCTTTTGAGAAGTTGTGCTTGGTTTGACACAACTGGCTAAGAGGAAATTTACCATATGCCTCCCAAGTTAAAATTAATTGACTCGTCCAATTAAATTACAACTGGGCTCGCCCAACCTTGGCAACTTTCAGGCTCGTGGACGCCAACTCACCGCAAAACCATGAGGACTAGTAACATGTCCTTAAAATTAAAATAGAGAGGGAGGAAGGAATGGAGGAGGGGTGAAATTAAAGGCCCCCTTGTCTGAAATGGTATAGGCCCTATGCCATGATAGGACCGTGATGGCGAACCTATGCCATGCGTGCCGGAAGTGGTATACAGAACCATCTCTCCAGGTATGCCAGCCATTGCCCGTTGATCTTCCGGGTTCCGGTGCACACATGTGCACCAGCCAGCTGGTCATCACGCATGTGCGAGCACCGGAAATCAGAAAAGCAGCTCCAGGCGTGTGCATGCACACCGACCACTTGATCTTCCAGTTTCTAACACGCATGCGTGCCCAAAGACCAGCTGGCTGGCGTGCAAATGCACGTTAGAAACTGGTCTTCACATGTGCATAAGCGTCAGAAGCTGGAAGACCAGGTGGCTGGAACACATGCATGTGCCAGGAGCTGCTCTTCTAGTTCCAATGCGTGCGCATTTTGGCACTCAGTCCCTTTTTGTCATGCACACATGTGCTCCTGTTTCAGCTCTCGGTGCCGAAAAGCTTAACCACCACTGCCATAGGGGGCTCCTGCTTGAGCAAAGGGTTGGACTAGAAGACCTCCAAAGGTCCCTTCCAGCTCTGTTATTCTCTTAATTAATCAGTGGAAAGTTTGCCTCCAGAAATTGTGGGGGCTCCATCACTGGAGGTTTTGAAGAAGAGACTGGACAGCCATTTGTCTGGAATGGTGTAGGGTTTGGCGCCTGAGCAGGGGGTTGGACTAGATGACCTCCACGCTCCCTTCCAACTCTGTTATTCTGATGACTTAGATTAGATGGGGCATGTAAGGGGCGTGCATAAGTGCACCATTGTGCCTTCCATCCTTGTCCTATTGTCCCCATTTATTCGTACCTATTTCCTGTATTCTTAGTCGTGTTTATACTTACACCTATTATCTTGTAAGTGGTTGACAAATAAAATAAATAAAATAAAAAAGGAAGGAAAGAAGGAAGGGGGAAAGAATGAGAACAGGGAAGGAAGGAAGGAAAGAAAGGAGAGAAAAGGGAGGGAGGGAGGGAGGGAGTGGGAGAGAGGAAGGAAGGAAAGAAGCAAGGAAGGGGAAAGGAAGGAAGGATGGAAGGAAGGAAGGAAGGAAGGAAGGAAGGAAGGAAGGAAGGAAGGAAAGGAAAGAATACCCATTCCTAAGAGGCGTGCATAAGCGCACCATCGTGCCTCCCGTCCCTGTCCTGTTGTCCCCATTTATTCCTACCTATTTCCTGTATTCTTACTCATGTTTATACTTACACCTATTATCTTGTAAGCGGTCAACAAATCAAATAAATAAAATAAAATAAAAAGATCCCTTGGAGTTTAGAAGGCTGGAATGTTCTGGCACGATGGAGGTTTGGAGAGGCAGCCCTGGTGGGCTTTACTGGGGGTGCTAATTCTCTTTTCTCTCCTTGCAGGTGGGACACAAGTCATTTTAAGAGGTCTGGAGGGCCGGAGAGGGACAGCTATATAATTCATCCTGAGTTTGTTTCAGAGGCTTATCCCACTCCGCCATGTTGGTATTAAGAGAGTCGAGAGAGACTGCCATTAAAAAGTGCCACTGGTGACAAACTATGCCGTGGGCTCGGTTGAATTCTCTTTCCCCCATAACCACCACCACCAAAAAGGCCGAGGGCCAAAGAAACATGTCTCGGTGCGGCCCTTGGTGCTCTCTGAGCGTGGTCGCTTTCTTGCGGATGTTTCATGACCCAACTAGGTAACAGCATCCGTGCTAGAAGGGACGGGGGGTTGTTCTCTGTTTATGTACAAGGGGTCTGCTCTATCAGCATTGGTGAGAGTATTCTTGATTGGATTGTGGTCTTGTCTCTGTGGTGGCCTGTCGGCTGCCAGTCTCTCCAGCAGCCGAATCAGAGGAGGAGGAGGAGGAGGAGGAGGAGGAGGAGGAGGAGAGGAGGAAGTGGAGGAGGAAGACAAGGAGAAGGAGGAAAAGGAGGAGGAAGACAAGGAGAGAGGAGGAGGAGGAGGAGGAGGAGAGGAGGAAGTGGAGGAGGAAAAAGAGGAGGAAGATAAGGAGAAGGAGGAAAAGGAGGAGGAAGACAAGGAGGGAGGAGGAGAAGGAAGAGGAGGAAGAGGAGGAGAAGGAGGAAAAGGTGGGGGAGGAGGAGGAGGAGGAGGAGGCATGGGAGTCAGAGCCAGCATCAGGGCAACCTGGGAGCTCCCAGGGGGAAGGGGGAATGGAGCTGGCAGGGTGGGAGAAAGAGAGACGGAGGCAGAGCCTGGGCCGTCCATCAGCCCTCAGATGGAAAGTCAACAGCACCCAGGTCTGGAGGTGGCTGATGAGGAAGAGGAGGAACAGCTGGGCCCAGTGCCTGATGCGCAGATATGCAGAAGGCAGAGGAGAGGAGAGCAGTGGAAATCTATGGGCCGGTCCTTGGGACGGAAGAGCCACCGCTGCTAGCGAAGCCCCACCCTAGCTATGGGGATAAAAGGTAGGGGTGGAGATGAATAGATCTGGCAGACTACTATTCCTCTTCTGGACAGACGGATTTGTTAGCCTGCGGTGAGAGAGAAACTTTTTGCCGTGACTCCTAATAAAGGAATCTTTGAGTCCGCTTCAGGGGGTTTGTTGTGTTTGGGAGGCTGGGTCAGAACAGCCTCACAATAATCCAATCAAGGGATAATCACCACCTAACAACTAGTTGGGTCATGAAATGTGTTAGTGTTTGGGGATAAACCCCCGAGCAGAGTGCACAGCAGCAGTCTAACCAGGCAGCCAAATGAGAGAGAGAGGCTGGGCCCAAGAGTATACACACACTTGAGACAAATGACACTGTTTGTGGTTTTAAATAGATATTTAATTCACACAGAGATTAAGAAGAGTCATTCAGTCCATATGTCAGTATCCAGTTTATCCACCCAGTTACCTAGTCTATAAACAGTAAATACAATGTCTTTACGCCTATGCAGTAAATGGATACATTCATCATGAGGCTTGGTATTGTTAAATACAGTCTGTGCCTCCCCTTTCTTACTATCATGTAAGACATACAATGCTCCATTTAAAGCTGCAGTTACCTTTTTGTTATCTCTTTCCAGTATGCACTTATTATTCTTAAATGTAACCACATATCCTAGTTTATCTAATACTCTTACAGAAAGTAAGTTCATCTTTAACTGTGGTACATACAACATTTTTATGTTCTGTTTTAAACATGGACAATATGCAATACCTTCACCCTTGGCCTTGAGGTGCCAACCATTAGCGAGTGATATATGCTGAGAGCTTGTAGACATTTTTATAAACTTTGTCTTATCTCTCGTGATACAGTGGGATGCTCCACTGTCCACCACCCATATATCATTCTTCATATCACAGTTGCTGAACGTGGCTAGTTCAAAGGATTTCTTTGGCTTCTTTAAATTCTGGCGTTTTCCTTTTCTGCAGAATCTTGCCAAATGTCCTCTGCCTCCACAATTAAAACACTTTTTAATTGTGTATGCCGCTGAAGATAACTTCTCTTCCTCCGGGTGCTTTACCTTGCATAGCTGGTTTCTTTCAGGCTTTGAAGATAATTTCTCTTCATTAGGCTTATCTTCTCTCAGCTGGTCACGTTCACTCCTTCTTCTGGCTTCTTCTAATAGCCTGCCAGTTATCTCAGTTACTGATAAACTGTCTTTAGGCAATACCTCTAATGCAGTCACAAAATCATCATAGCTTCGATCCAAAGAAGACAGTATAATGTATACTTGTTGCAACTCATTAAATATAAGCTCTTTTTCTTGTAACTCTTGAAAAATGCTTTTCATACAGTTTAAATGAGTTAACATGTCTCCATTGCTCTCAAGATGTGTTCTAAACAGCTTCCGTGTAAGATTGATATGAGCTCCTACACTGTCTCGAACATAAATCTTCTTGAGGTTATGCCAGCAAATGGCAGCATTTTCCTCTCCACGGATATGTATCAGTTGCTGGTCTGAGAGAGTCAGTCCTATGATGCACAAAGCCTGTTCAATCTTTTGTTTATAGTCCTGTATCTTTCTGGCATCCTCTTCAACAGTAGGATCCAAATTAGATACATCTGGTGGGTTTGTAATTATGTCCCACAAACCTTCTCTTCGTAGCAGTAAACTACACTTCATTGACCATGAAACATAGTTTGTTCCATCTAACCTGGATATCATAGACAGACTTGGCAAATTTACTTGTGCCATTGCTCTGCAGAAAAATAACTATTTAACAAACAGTTTGTCTTTACAGCAATGTGCAACTCACCCCAAATCTAACTCTCTCTGGTATATCCTGGTTAGCTAGACTGTGCACACTGCTGGGCCCATAACCAATGTTAGTGTTTGGGGATAAACCCCCGAGCAGAGTGCACAGCAGCAGTCTAACCAGGCAGCCAAATGAGAGAGAGAGGCTGGGCCCAAGGGTATACACACACTTGAGACAAATGACACTGTTTGTGGTTTTAAATAGATATTTAATTCACACAGAGATTAAGAAGAGTCATTCAGTCCATATGTCAGTATCCAGTTTATCCATCCAGTTACCTAGTCTATAAACAGTAAATACAATGTCTTTATCTGCTTGTAAATCTTCTTCTTCTGATAACTTTCTCTCAAAGACAATGCTGAGTATGAACAGCTCACCAAGTAAACACAGTCCTTTAGTTCAGTAGAGAGAAGTATCTTGCACAGTAGACATCTCATGCAGGAGTAAAGCAGTAGGCAGACAGCAGACAGACCAGAGACCAGTAACACCAGGAACCAGGAACAGAGACTCGAAACCAGCATCAGAAACCAGGAAGTGTTACGTCTCTCTCACTGCCTCTTATTGCAGCTTACAACCACACCCATAATTATCCGATGACATTGCAGTTTTGGAGCTTAAAGCTGCAAACACTTAAACCTAGGCTTTATATATTCATTCACTCAAACCAGTTGGTGTATCCATATACCCAACAAAATGCCTGCAAGAAAACAATCACAGCTAAGAGAACACTAAGGACTGCATAGTACTTCCTCGTCCTCCTCATCATCATCATCATCACCACCACCATCACAAATCCCTTCTAGCACTGATGACGTTACCTAGTTGGGTCATGAAACGTCTCCAAGAAAACCACCAAGCTCCGAGAACATCAAGAATTCCAGTCCTTCCTCCTCCTCCTCCTCCTCCTCCTCCTCCTCCTCCTCCTCCTCATCATCATCATCATCATCATCATCATCATCATCACTACTACCACCACTATCGTTATAAATCCCCCTCCCTTCTGGCATTGATGATGTTACCTAGTTGGGTCATAAAACGTCTCCAAGAAAACCACCAAGCTCAGAGAGCACCAAGAACTCCACTGTCCCTCCTCCTCCTCCACCTCCTCCTCCTCCTCCCCCCTCCTCCTCCTCTTCTCTGCCAACCCCACTCCTTTCTAGCACTGATGATGTTACCTAGCTGGGTCATGAAACGTCTGCAAACTCACACAGCACCAAGCTCCCCGGTTCGAGCCTGAGCTACAAAGACTCTTTTCTATTGGAATATCTTTTTCTAGCTAGCAATGGGGAGGGGAGAAACCCTCTCCTCCCCCAGCACCAACCCCGGCCTTCACCTCTTGCAAAACAGGATGCAACCTAAGCGGAATGTTGCTTCTCCGAGCCCAGAGCACCACACTTAATCCCTGTTTTTAAGGCTTAGTTAGAGACGGTTGGAAAAAAATCGTCTGAATTGCCTCTCTCTGTTTGTTTCCGCTGTTTAACATTTTTCCCCCTTAAAAACCCTCTTTATCTGGAAAACAAGCCATAAAGAAATGCAACTCCAGGCCCGACAGATGGTCATAAAGAGATTGCAATTTCAGGAGCGATTAAGAAAGAAGAAAAAAAATCCACTTAACGCACACACCGATACAAGCCATAAAATCCGAAGGAGCCCGGGAAACGAGCTAGTCTAAAGGTTGTTAAAAACACAGCACGGAAGGAAGGGCGGTTCAACTTCAGAGGACTCAGCATTGTGTGGTGTGTGTGTGTGCGTGTGTCTAGGGAAAAGCTCGTAACACATGTGACAATCTATGCAAAGCGGTCTCACTATCAATCCACCTTCAGGGTCGTTAAAAGATCTAACAGGATTACCAAAAGAGCGCACGTAAGTATGTACACACACATGCACAAACACACAAATACATTTAATTTTATTTTTAATTTTATTTTTAGTGTTGACTCCTGGCAATGGCCGGGCCTGGCCTCTTGGCAAGGTTTTCTTGGCAAGTTTTTTTGGCAAGTGGTTTTGCAATTTAGCCTTCCTTCCCAGGGTTGAGAAATGAAGGACCGACTCGTTCTTGTTTGCTTATTTACTTATTTGAGTGAAATTATTGTTGACTTTATTTCTTCTTGCAAGGGCTTGTGGCTTCGATCAAAGCCTGAATGTAAACAGGAGATTAAAAAAAACACCCAGCAGACAAATCACACTTTGTAAACCATAGGACAGTGGCGGCTAACCTTATTGGGCTCCTATGCCAAAAATTGAGTGCGCGCGTGCCGCATGCCAACACCCAGAAGGCAATGTGTGCAGGCCCTCCCAATGCCCCCTGAGCATGTGCACACGAGTCTCCCACCCCCCGCTACCGCCCCCTTACCTGCACTGTACCTCCCAGCTGATTTTCAGCCCGTTTGAGGCCTTTCTCAGCCTCCCAGAGGCTCGAGGGAAGCCTCTGCAGCCTTTGTAGGCCGAAAAATGGGCCCGTTTCGTATTCTGGAAATACAGGAAGTGATGAAACAGGCCTGGTTTTCGGCCTACGAAGGCTGCAGGGGCTTCCCTCGAGCCTCTGGGAGGCCGAAAAAGGCCTCAAACGGGCTGAAAATCAGCTGGGAGATGCAGTGCAGGTAAGTTTGCCTCGTGTGCCCGCACAAATGTCTCTGCGTGCCACCTGTGGTACACGTGCCATAGATTTGCCTGGCTGTAAATCAGAAGGCGTCTGACGACAAAACTCCTTTTTATCAAAAGCTTGGCCTTCCAATTTTGGGCTTCCAGTTCTCTCCTCCTACTCAATTCTGCAAAATCGCTATAAAAGGCTACCTCCTTAGAAGTACCCACTGCATCTTAGAAGAGACGGTCTTCGCAAACCCTGAATCCTGGTTGGATAAAAAAAAAAAAAAACCGAAGAGTTTGTTAATACAGATATATTAATAAAGTTCCCCTGAACACACCCAGCCCACAACCAGTGTGAGGAAAATGCGAAGTGCCAGGCATGAAGCCATGATGCAAATCTTCCATTATATGGATGAGGTTTGCCAGATATCTTGTGTCTACCTGTGCGTGCATTTAAAATTAAACATTTCTTGTTTATGAAAAGTAGTTGAGGAATCAAGAAAAGTAGTTGAGGAATCAAGAATCAAGCCTTCTTTGTTTCTTCTCTTTTTCTTCCTTTCTTTTTTCCTTTTTTTCTTTCCTTCTTTCTTCCTTCCCTTCTTCCCTCTTCTTTCTTTTCCTATCTTCCTTCTTTCTTTTTCTCTGCTTTTCTATTTTTCTCTTTCTTTTTTTCTTTTTCTTCCTTTCTTTTTTCTTTCTCTCTCCACCTTTCCTTTCTTCCTTCCCTCCCTTTCTTTTTTGTCTTTTCCTTCCTTTTTCCTGTTTTTCTGTTTTCCTTTCTTTTTTCTTCTCTTATCTTTTCTTTCTTTTCTTCCTTCCTTCTCTTTTTCTTTCTTTTTCTTTTTCTTCCTTTCTTTTTTCCTCTTTTTTTCCTTCCCTCCCTCCCCCCTTTTCTTTTCTTCTTCCTTTCTTCTTTTTCTCTGCTTTTCTATTTTTCTCTTTTTTCTCTTTTTCTTCCTTCCTTTCTTCCTTTCCTTTCTTCCCTCCTTCCCTCCCTTTTGTCTTTTCCTCCCTTCCTTTTTTCTGTTTTTCTCTTTCTTTTTTCTTCTCTTTTTCTCTTTTCTTCCTTCCCTCTTTTCTTTCTTTCTTTCTCTTTCTTTTTTTCTTTCTTTCTCATTTATTTGCATGGCACCTTTATTATCCTGTTTAGAAATAACTCACAGTCTCCTGGTGATTGGTTGGAATTGCATGGCTAAGGTGGCACTAGAACTCAGAGCCTGCTCCTGATGGATTGGCCCAAAGTCACCCAGCTGGCCTCCAGGCCTAAGGCCGGACTAGAACGCCCTGTCTCCCGCTCTTTCGCTTGGTACCTTAATCCTGAGACCAAACTGACCTTGTAGGTCTCTCTTCCACTTCCCCAGCTCCCAGCACAGACTTTAGTGTGACGAAGTTTTTCCTAAGCTGAAGGTTTGCTGGGAAGCTGCCACTTTTAGAAGCACTCATGGTGATTCTAATATGTAGCCTGGTGTCTTTCTTTCAAGGTGCTTTTTGCTTTTCTCTTTAACTCTGGACCAGGATTTTCCACAGTTGGCAATGCTAAGACACACGGACTTCAATTCCCAGAATCCTCCCAGCCAGCATGCTTTAAAATGGGCAGACTTCAACTCCCAGAATTCCCCAGCTAGCTTGATTTAAG